AGAACGTCCGCGGCTGAAAAAAATAAAAATAAATTCCCAGGTGTAACTTTTTGAGACAAGAGATAAGGACTGTAGGCTTTGGGGCACCACCTGATTGAAACTTGGTGCCCCAGTACTAAATTCGAGCTTTAACAGGGCGTAGGGCCCCGTTGGCTCCCTAAAATTGACTTTTTTGGTTCAATTTGAATAAAAAAAAAACCTTTGGAGCACCTCAATGGTGATAGCTAAAACAAAACGCTCTAACAGACACACCAGATACAAACAAGCTGGAATAAAATAAAAAACAACATTACTTTACTTGAAGAAGACAGCAATGCCAATACAACTAAGACTCCATACAGAAAGGGGATCCAAACAAACTTGTATCGAACACTACTGACATTATTTTGCATTAAAGACAAATGTTCCAGTCTCAGAAATTTTCCACTTTTATAAACAATGGTTTTACGCATGTAAACAATATCTGTTGGACAGAAATAAGAATGACATTTATATACAAACAGATGAGCAGAGACCAATATTGTCATTCCAGGTCCAATGTTAAAATTACAACTAAGAGTATACAACTTGCATACAGAAAAGGGATCCAAACAAACTTGTATTGAACACTACTGACATTATAATCTGCAAAATGGGGACTCAATCTTTGAATCATTGAGAAGACAAAAACATCCAATCCAGAATTCATGGCTTTCTCAATTTTTGGCATATGGAAGCACATTTAGTACTAGCATGTGCCCTGACAGAAATTCTAACTAACCCACTGTATTTAACAACAAGAATAACACCATGAATACATCACTGAGGAGAGTCTTCAGGACTTGACAAAGTTGAACAAACTGCAGTTATGCAAACTACTTCAAGAGGGAGTTATTGGAATGGATATGAAATACTCCATGTTGATTTTATCTAGATATTCTGTAATATAAAACTATAGACCTATTGTTGAATTTTCATAGCATATTTTCTCCTCTAATTATTATATTCCAACCTATTTATTTACTGAGCATGCCAACTGTGCCACCATATTGGTATTAGATCAACTACCCCTCAGCTTAGAGCCAAGAGCTCTGGTAGGGGTCACAGAGTTACTACAATATTTATTAGTAACAACAGAAATAAGAACACTAGCAGCTGTCTTGACACTAACTGCCAGTCACGAGAACAAACATTAAATGATACGGCTCTCACATTGGTTGGCAATGTACAATTTACACAGCCAAAGAAACAGACGAAATGAGGCAGTTATGAAAACTGGCGCAGTGACAAAGCTGTATGATCACATTCTTACTGTCTCATCAAAACGGAGCCATCTTCTTGATGAGGAGGCCAGACAGTGAACTCCACAAAGGCGAACATCTTGGCAGTTGGCAAGGCACACATCTTTACCTAGAACAGCAATAATTGGGGAATTAGCAGTGTTCTACTAAGACATAGCCTGATTGTTTTTTCCCTTTTAATGTAGAGGGAGATAGTTTTAGACTGATCCAAAGAAAAAACTCACCTATTACAACTTTAAAAAATGGGAACTTGGCATGCAGCGAGAGCTTCCATAATCACATGAAAACATGATAAATCCAGGGACAACCCAAGCCGTCGTACTCTTATGACTCTCCAGCAATCCTACGTAGACCTGAGTGGACAAAAAGATAAATATCAAACATGGTTACACTCAGCGGGCTAAATACCTCAGAGGCAACCTTGGTAAATTTCTATAAAGCACAGCCTTCATGTGTGTGAATTCTGAACACTAAAGAGCAAGGTTTAAGTTTGGTAAATAAAACCCCCCTAAGGTTCAATGCTTTTATGATGGCAGTAAAGAATCTGCAAACAACTGAAAATGAACACTTCCATCCAGTACAACAGAGCCCCAAAGACGCAACTAAATAATCAAAAAAGAGAGAGAAGAAATCACGACTTGCCAAAA